TTCAAAACAGGGTTTTGGAACATTACATCTGTTTACATACAATTTAAATGCTCCGAAAATGCTTAAAATTTATGAAAAGTATTTGTTGCCGACTGCTGAACGATGTTTCATAAAAAAAAACGAGAACTGGATCTTACAGGAAGACAACGACCCAAAACACCGGAGCAAGTTTTGCATCGAGTGGAAAGAGCGGTCTGGCACACTTGATTGGCCATCGCCGCAATCGCCAGATGCAAATCCCATTGAAAATGTGTGGGCATATCTCAAGCACAAGCTTCGAGGAAAAAGAATATGCACTTTGAAGCAGCTGACACGACAAATTCGTCTCATTTGGAGGTCTTTACCGAACGAATACGCAGTCAACTTAGTGGAAAGTATGCCTCGGAGATGTCAGGCAATTATCAATGCCGGTAGTGACTGGACTCATTATTAATGGTATAGCATTTTTCTTTTAATGGAGTACAACAAATCTATGTACTTAAAAATCATTAAAAATAAATTTTTCTACACATTAACCTGTACACGCTCTTACTTTACAGACTGTATGTTATGTACGTCTTTTCATTTATTTTTACCAATATTTCGTTAAGCGAACTGTATAAGTCCTACTCTACTCGAGGGTCTAAACACGAGTTGTGTAACATTTTGTTTAATAAATTGTCAATATGTACAAATACACATTTATTCAATTAGTTATCAAATAATGCCGTAATTAAAGCCAACGTTGCGCAAAATGTTTTTATTGTAAAATATTTTTGTTGAAGCGCTAGTTCGATTTGTTTATTATTCACATTGACATCGTCGCTGGGTCTATATATATAAAATGCCAGTTATTCGCCAGTGCTGGCCTAGCACTGGCTGCCAGACTGTTGGCCGACGGTCGAGTGCCATAGCAACGGCCAGGCATTGGTTCTCATCTTAACGCCCGACTTGTCTATATATATAAAATGCCAGTAGCACTGGCTGTCAGACTGTTGGCCGACGGTCGAATGCCGTAGCAACGGCCAGACGTTGGTTCTCATCTTAACGCCCGACTTGTCTATATATATAAAATGCTAGTTATTCGCCAATGCTGGCCCAGCACTGGTTGACAGAACGTTGGCCGACAGTCGTCTACCGTAGCACTGGCTAAACGTCGGTTTCGTTGTAACAACTGACAACCCTATACGGGTATATTCGAATTAACGCTATATTTTAATTTTTTATGGCTCTATTTTGGAACATTAAATTAGCATTAAATTCCCTGTGTACTTTTTGCATATGTGCACTGTATATATATTTTTTTTATGGGGGGTTCAGCTTGCCCCATTAAATTGGACTCCCTCATTTTTTTTACTGTTAAACGATTTGAGCACTAAATTTCGGAATAGGGTAATAAATTAGCACCTAATTAGCACTAAATTTTTGACCTATTCCGGATTTGATTTTCAATGGTGGGGGGTCCAACTTAATAGAGGTTGTCTATTAACATTTGATGTATAGTATAATGTGTAGATTAATTTCCTGTGTATCATTTACTATCTCACGTTTTTTCTTCAAGTTATTGTATTTGTACCAATGTGTACCTACAAGTACATACGCAATATAATGCCCATTGTTGGTATTCCCATACTGTATGTAATGAACAATACCTGCTAGTATACAATTTATGTCGTTCATAATAACAATTTTTGCTATAGACTCTAAGTGATGTTTATTATTTACATTGCTGTTAAGGTATCTGTGGTCAGTAAATACAGATGTGTCTATTAATATATGTTATCCATATTCGAAATTACTGTGCGCTAGTACACCTCACTTTTGACAGTTGGACGTAATATTTTGTGCATCATCTATTGTTCGCTGCATATTCTGCAATCCTTAGCGAAAAATTATATCTATATTTACATTGCAGCTTACAGATGAACGCGAATTCGTAACACTGCAAATGCACGATTTAGTAAATACGTAACTAGGTTCATTTTTAAAAAGATATTCCGCCAGATGTGCTGCGTTGCAGTTAGTATTTAGTCGTTTAATTTCACATTTTTAAACAATCACGTTTTTAAACATCACGAAAGAGTGGCAAATTTTTTAATATGGAAGCTCTTTCTGCATAATGTATGGAAAACGATCTTCCGTTTTTTAAAATGGACCGCGCTAGTTTAAAAATATCGTCGGTGCATGATTCTGTTACCTCTCGATAAGCTTTATGTGTTGCGATTCCACTTGCTACGAGTTGCAGTAATGAATCAAAAGCACATGTTTCGTGTAACGTCATTGTGACTTCTTGTCTGCTTACTGGCTGTTCGTTATTACGCGGCTTTTATGTCGCGTCTTTGTCTGGCGAGCATCGGTTTGCTACTCTGCGATTGCTATTGGCCGCGCGAGAGGAATAGCGCGGTCTATTTCCTGCGCCGTATCGCGTGGATCCTGTACGCACCGGTAATGCGCTGAGCGATCAGATTGATCTCGACGATCGGCCCGACAACACGATCATGTCGATTGCGTCGTGTCGCGAAAATATTGCTCGCGTACGTCATCGAAACTACATTCTAGCCGTGTTCCGTTGCTAGAAGGTGCAGCGAAATAAATAAAGAGAGGATAACCAGCCTTCTCGGCCGCGAATCCGCTGGACAGTTAAGCGGGGAGCACATGCTTTTCCGTAACGCATAATGCGTAAGGCATAACACATAGCGACCCACGGAAGAAACGCGGAATTTGTGCACAGATAACGCTGTGCGCCTCAAGATTTTATATGATCCTTCGAGCCAGATACTACGTCATTCCCAGCAGTATCATCTCCCTCGGAAGCACGGCGCAGGAGGTAAATTAGTGCCTCGACGACACAAGGGATGCGCTGTCTGACAATCTCCGGGCACGCGGCTCAGTCAATGAGCCGCCATACTTGAGAAGCAGCTCATGTTCCGCGGGCGTTCACTACACGCCTTCTGGAAAATTCCATGTCGAGCTAGAGACGTATATTACGAAGTAGTTCAAACCGTCGCATCACACGACAGCCAGTCCTCAAGGATAATCCACGTTGGGCGCCACACGAGTTCCGTGAGCCGCCATCTTGGCACGACGTCAACTTCGAGAAGGTTCGTACGGCCATTCGGGCGCCAACTACACGGAACGGCCCGGGATCCACATCTGCGCCAGGACGACAGATCTTCACCCCCTCGCCCCACGCACGCTGCCTACCACAAGGAAGTTGAGGACTAGTAGCCGGGCCAAGCATCATTCCACGCAGAGGAACATCAGTGCGACACGTGATAGGCGCGGCGGGCGGTTATTTGCGCATGCGCACGCGCGTGGATTCAAGGTAAGGAGAGTTGTTTTTTGTGTTGTTGCCGATCAATGACTTGTCGAATCGCCGTTTATTCGAATCGCGCCAACATGTCAATTCAAGACATCGCCATGCTGAGGAAGCAGCGCGGCCTCATTAAAGCCTCTTGCACGCGCATTAGGACATACGTAGAGTCGGTAAATCAGCTTTCCGCATCCACGATAGCTCAACTCGAGGAGCGTAAAAATAAATTAGACAATTATTGGAACGAGTACAATTCAATGCAAACTAAATTAGAGCTCGCCGACGACGCCGAGTCCAATGACCACGGATCTTTCGAGGAAGCTTTCTATACGCTGGCCGCGAAAATTAGAGAATTGACGATCTCCTCACCCCCGGGTCGCCGGTCGGACGAGGATTCGGTGTCACGTTCTAGTTCGCGGGGAGCGCCGGAACCTGCGTCTTATGTCCGACTTCCGAAGTTGAGTTTACCCAGCTTCTCGAGCAAGTACGACGAATGGTTCCCATTCCGTGACATTTTCAATTCCGTTATTCACTCTAACGCTACACTCAGCAATGCACAGAAATTGCAATATCTTAAATCATCCGTGACCGGTGAGGCGAGCAGTGTCATTTCTTCGTTAGAAATATCTGACGCCAATTACGACGTCGCGTGGTCGCGTCTCAAGGAACGCTATGACAATGAGCGCGTTGTCATACAAAACCATATTCGCGCAATAATGGATCTATTGTCAAACACTTGAAGCAAGCGCCAAACCGAACAGCAATGTCACGAAGGGTACCACCAAGGGTTCCCAATCAGATTCAAAACGTCAATTACCGTTATCCGCGACGGTTAAAACGAAACGTAATTATTGCAAGGAAGACCACTCCATATACTATTGCAAGGACTTCCTAGCCTTGTCTGTCTCACAAAGAAATACGGAAGTCCGCGGACGAAAACTTTGTATCAACTGTTTAAAATCTACATCTCATAGCGCAGCCAAATGCCTTTCAGGCAACTGTAAAGTGTGTCAGGTCAAGCACAACACTCTTCTGCATGCCACAGCCGCCACCACAGCGGCATTTGAGGAGAGCATTCGCGGTGCCGGGGATTCCAAGCCTATCAATTCGGCTCAGATCACGTTCACTCACACATCACGCTCTACCAATGATAGCGGCGTCATTCTGTCAACGGCCGTCATGTTCGCGCTCGATTCTCGAGGGAGTCCTCGTCCATGTCGCGTGCTGCTGGATTGCGGCTCGCAAGCCCACTTTATTTCCAAGCGATGTTTGGAAACTCTCGAGCTAATATCGCGACCGTCAAACATCACAATCACCGGCGTCAACGGTTTCGCAACCACGTCTTCCCAGGTGGTGGACGTACAACTACAATCTCGCATGAATTGTTATACAGTCGTCGCGGAATGCATCGTCACGGAACGTGTAACCGAGAAACTTCCGTCCGCTTCTTTCCCGCGTAATGCTGTAAGGATTCCGCGTAACATACAGCTGGCTGATCCGAATTTTAACGTCTCCTCCGAAGTAGATATTTTAATAGGAGCCGGGTTATTCTGGGATTTGTTGTGCGTCGGTCAGATAAACAGCATCCCTAATCACCCTCAATTACAAAAAACTAGATTGGGATGGATATTGGCGAGCCGCCTTGCCTGTCGTTCCGTGCCAACGGCGGTGCGATCTTGACACGCCTCGATAACCAATTAGCAACTACATGAGCAGATTGACCGCCTTTGGCACTTGGACGATGGCTTCACGGCGCCGAGCGCCTATTCCTCGCAAGAGAGGTTTTGCGAGCAGCACTTCATTAACAATGTCGCGCGAGACTCGCGGGGCCAGTACGTGGTGAAACTTCCTATCAAGGAGCACTTCCTATCAAGAACCTAACCTAACCCTAACCCTAACCTCCTCTCGAATTTAGGAAATTCTCGAGAAATCACCTTCAAAAGATTGAAGGCTTTGGAAAGACGTCTCTCGCGCGATCCTTCGCTAAAGCAACGATATGTTAAATTCATGGAAGATTACCTGACATTGGGACACATGCGCGCAGTAACGCCCTCCGCTGATGAAAACGCGATAGCATTCTACTTACTCCACCACTGCGTGCTAAAGGTCACGTCAAGGTCGTCGAAGCTTCGCGTGATGTTTGACGCCTCCTGCAAGTCCGATACGGGGGTGTCATTGAACATTCTAGAAGTAGGTCCGGTAGTTCAACAGGATCTCGCGTCAACGTTAATGCGTTTTCGCTATTATCAATACGTCATATCAACGGACATCGTCAAGATGTATAGGCAAATCTTTGTAGACCAATCACAAACGAGCTTGCAAAGAATCTTGTGGAGAGCTAATCCTGAGGAGGGGGCCGTCACGTATGAGTTGTTGACCGTAACCTATGGCACGTCCGCGGCATCATTCCTTGCCACAAGATGCCTTACGCATTTGGCTGACCAGCACGGTTCCGAGTTCCCTCTCGGCTCTCTTCGTCAAGCGCGACTTTTACGTTAATGATCTACTTACGGGGGGCGGACTCGATTCAGGAGCTCGAGCTGATACGCGACGAGATAATACTGCTCCTGCGGGCAGGATCATTCGAGCTCAGCAAATGGGCATCTAACTGTCCGCAGCTGCTGGAGCCCTTACGTGAGCGCGGTGACGAATTAATAATCTTAAATGATGACAACTCTTCTATTTTAGGCATTAAATGGAATCAATCGCAGGATACCTTCCACTTTTCTTGCAAATTGGATCCTGCCTGCAGCGCTCCGACCAAGCGGGCGATATTATCGGAGACAGCCAGGTGCTTCGATCCCTTGAGACTTCTGGGCCCTACGACTGTCGTTGCCAAGGTCATCATGCAGGAGCTTTGGCAATTCGGCGTTCATTGGGACGAGTCGGTCCCGCAACGTATTCATACGCGATGGATAAAATTTAGATCACAGCTATTCGAATTAAACCGGCTACAAATGCCGCGGGGAGTAAGACTCAAGTGCGATCTACACTTCGTTCAGATGCATGGGTTTTGTGACGCTAGCCAAAACGCGTACGGTGCCTGTGTGTACATTCGCACTAAGGTAGGCCCGGGTGAATATCACGCTAATCTACTCTGTTCAAAATCTCGAGTTGCCCCTCTCAAGGCCACAACATTGCCGAGACTCGAGCTCTGCTTCTAGCCCGGTTAATCACAAAGGTTCACGATTTATTGGGCCTGTCTTGTCTTCCTAAAATCCTTTGGTCGAATTCGACAATCACTCTAAATTGGATATTTTCATCTTCCAGAAGGTGGTCCGTCTTCGTGGCCAATAGAATCGGCGAGATCCAGCGCTTCACCGAGAGTAAGGATTGGCGTCACGTGGCCTCGTCTGAGAACCCGGCCGACATTCTTTCGCGTGGACTAAGTCCCCGCGAACTAGTCGATTCAAACCTGTGGTGGCACGGGCCGTCTTTCTTACAAGCGGACGGTAGTCTTTGGCCCACGGGTACATTCGCGCGATTAGGGGAGAATCTTCCCGAGCTACGGAAAACGGCAGTCGCCGCCGTCGTGCAAATCGGTATCTCCCTCGTCAACGACCTCCTGGGCAGGTTTTCTAATCTCAATAAGATATGTCGGATAATAGCATACTGTTTGCGGCTTTCTAAATTTCGGTGCCTGGCGACGCCATCCGAATTCATTTCTCTTGACGAGTTCTCGCATGTCTTGAAGCTTGTTTACAAAGATGTGCAGAGACGGGAGTTTCCCCTTGAGCGGGAGATCCTGCTCAAGGGAGAGGCTGTCCCGTATTCAAGTAGATTGCTGTCCCTCTCGCCCTTCATGGACGAGGTAGGCTAAATAAGGGTGGGGGGCAGATTGCGGAACTCTCAGCTTCCTTTCGACTTTAGTCATCCCATCCTGCTTCCTGGCAGCCATTTAATTCGACTCGTGATAACTCGGGAGCACACTCGAAATTTACACGCGGGTCCACAAGCTACCATGGCCGCTGTCCGGCAAATGTTTTGGCCATTATCTCTACGTTCGAATACGCGCAAAATCATACAGAATTGCATTATTTGCTTCAAGGCCAACCCACGGCATTCACAAGCCATAATGGCTTCACTCCCGGCTAGCCGCACCACGGTATCACGCCCCTTCTCGCGCTGCGGAGTTGATTACGCCGGACCGATTGTCATAAGAGAGGGGAAAAGACGAAACGCCAAAAATCATAAGGCTTACATAGCTATATTCGTTTGTTTTGTTACCAAGGCGGTGCATATTGAGGTGGTGAGTGACCTGACCACTGATGCATTCTTGGGCGCGTTCAGGCGCTTCATATCGCGCAGGGGCAAACCAGTTCACATGTTCTCAGATAACGGGACTAACTTTGTGGGCACTAATAAGCAACTCCAAGAATTGCATAAATTTTACGTTCAGGCCCAAACGCAAGGTCAGATCAATCAATTTTTACATGAGCAACAAATCTCTTGGAACTTTATCCCGCCGAATGCTCCTCACTTCGGCGGATTGTGGGAGGCGACAGTTAAGTCCGCGAAATTACATATGACTCGAGTCATCGGTGGAGCTCACTTAACTTTCGAGGAGCTACAAACCCTCCTTTGCGAGATAGAAGCAATTCTTAATTCACGATTTATCACGGCTCTAAGCTCGGACCCAAACGACATGTCTCACTTAACACCGGGACATTTTCTGATCGGCACTGCACTAAACAGCTTTTCTTCCAGGGATCTAGACGGTGTTCCAGAAAATCGATTGCTCTGTTGAATCGAGCAGATTCGGCAGCACTTCTGGCGCCGCTGAAGCACCGAATATTTACAGTAATTGCAATAACGTTCAAAGTGGAAGGCCAGCAAGGGAGCGCAGCTGCTGCCTAACCAGCTCGTTCTCCTGAGACAGTCAAACATGATGCCTCTGCAATGGATCTTGGGATGCGTGCGAGAGTTTCATTTAGGATCCGACGGCGTGGCCCGCTCGGCCACGGTCCAAAGCGCCAAGGGCTCGTTTATGCGGCCGCTGACTAAGCTGGCAATTTTGCCGCTCGAGGAGTAACTTATAAGATTATTCGTAGTTTAGTATTAGTTTTTAGTTGCGCGCATCTTCATGTGAATCGTTCATAATTGCATTTTTGTTCCAGACATTGTTACCTGCTTTAACGACGATCGCAATTTCCGTTGGTCGGATTACTTGTTGTTTCGGTTGCGATCGCCCCTTGCGTGTGTTCATTGCCAGCACCTCGCCCTAGATTAGGCTCAACTTTGAAAGATGATCCTTTCAAGGCGGGCGGCGTGTTCGTTATTACTCGGCTTTTATGTCGCGTCTTCGTTCGGCGAACATCGGCTTGCTACTCTGTGATTGCTATTGGCCGCGCGAGAGGAATAGTGCGGTCTATTTCCTGCGCCGTATCATGTGGATCCTGCGCGCACCGGTAATGCGCTGAGCGGTCAGATTGATCTCGACAATCGGCCCGACAACACGATCACGTCGATTGCGTCGTGTCGTGAAAATATTGCTCCCGTGCGTCATCGAAACTATATTCTCGCCGTGTTCCGTTACCAGAAGGTGCACCGAAATAAATAGAGAGAGGATAACCAGCCCTCTCGGCCGCGAATCCGCTGGACAGTTACCCACAGAAGAAACGTGGAATTTGTGCACGGATAACGCTGTGCGCCTCAAGATTTTACACTGGCTTGCGTTTACTTCCGTTCATAATGAGAGGTAAATTTCGTGACGTAGTGTTTTTTAATAAGTCCTATTCTGGACATTTGTCCAAGTACGACGGCTTAATCCGCTTTTTTGGAATAGGCTTGGGAAGTTCTTCAGCACACTTGTTCACAATTTTTTCTGAACTCATCAAACCGTGTCAATTCTCGCAGGTATTCCAATTCTTTTCTGCGTCATCAAAATCATACAGATTGGGCTCAGTAGCATTATCAGAATCATGTAAATTTCGCTCAAAGGCCTTGTTAGTTTCATGCAAGTTTTAATCAGTGGAAGTATCTATGCTACTTATAGTACACTCGATTTCATCAACTTTTGTCGAAATCTTGTCGTTATAACATTTTTTCACGTGTTCATCTAATTGTAAATCTATTTCTATTTCATTTTTTCCAAAAACATATGTTTCGTTAGATGCAACAGATACTTTGTTCAACTGCAGCGATCTATCATTTTTTATGTCCTTTTCGTTAGATTCAAGGATAACTTTCGCATCTAGAAAATGTAAATGCTGCATCACGAATTTGTCAATTCTCATTGGAAGCTGACCTTTAAAAGCTCTATTTTTGAGATTGCTAAATTCCGATTCAACCGATGAAGAAGTAGCGATTTCTCCCGATCTATTAAAATATGGACGCATTATTCCCGTCCATATAGTCAAATAAGGTAATAAACGTGTTTTCATTTGTTTCGCGAAATTGGGATTGTAACATGCATTTAATATACAAAAGTTGTGAAGAACTCAGAATATGCTACCATATTCTGAGTTCTTCACAACTTTTTGTGCAAAATCCCAAATAGTATTGCTCCATCCATTCCAGCCAGCTACTATCACAGTTTCCCTCATGACTGGAATTATCATTACTAAATGATATTCTGAATTTTTATTATTATAATTATCTCATGTATAATATCTGTTTCGATTATATTATTATTATATCTTTTAATATCATTTAAATATGGCAGACGTTCATTGGACATCAATGGCTTACCGTCCATTGTACACCCAATATTTTTGCTTAGTGCCACAATTAAAATGGATTTCATAAAGCATTTCACTTCTTTCAGAAAATCCTTTTATATGTTTGGCCAATGCAGCAAAGATAAAATGCTCGCACCAATATTTTATCGCTACTTTTCAGACATTTCCATCTTGATATTGTACAAATTAAATGACTAACATCTAATCTTATGTAATATAATGGAATCATGCTAGTATTTCCCATAACTATAGTCATGTAGCACTTTTGTAGATAGCCTTTCAAGTCATTACATTTCGCGAAAACATTCGAAACCGCGATTAGAATGGCCCAACTAAAATCGGATACAACCGTATATGGTATAGGAATACTTTTGGCAATAATATTGCGTAAGAAAAATGCGATTATCATCGCTCTATGATCGGATGAGATTATTTGGAATACCGGAATATTACCGTCTTTGTTAACAAAAACGCATTGGTATAGAAATATCGGAGAATCTTGTGATGCTTCCCATTTAATTATGCCGCCTATGGCATCAAGCGTCAAAAACGTTTCTGGATCACTTTTATGCCTTGTCAAATATAATTGTTGTTCAGTGATTCAATATATGCAAAAAAAAGCGTAATAAACTAATATTAATAATTGAACTAACGTATTTATAATGCTTTGCATTATTTAACAAGTTTAATACAGGATTACTAAATACTAATCCATGCTGCTACAACAATCTTTCTTCCTTTGTCTTGCGTAAAACTGTAGAAGAAGGAAGGATTGGAAGATCTTTGTCTCCAAACATCTTTAAACGTTTTGCCTCTTCTCGGCGGAAAGATATTGCATCTTTACGTTGCTCAATTATTTTATCAGCAATTAGTGTACGTTTCTTACCTTTAAGATGTTTTTTCTTGTTCGTATCATGCTCCGCAGAACATATGTTTTCTACTATGCATTGAAAAATTACATTGGTATCGTCGCTTGGTATTCTGAACAGTATGCCTGTAATAGTTGCAGCACATTTCGTACAACTGCCTTGAAAAGAGACATAACAGCGTGCTTCTGCACTAATATGTACATTGTGCTTTTTAAATTTAAAAACACAGACAAGTTTTTGCTGTTATCACAACTTTTCGGCTACTATGTCAGTCCAATCTGATTTTAACACCCAGTAAACTGGATTATTATAAATTTTTTTAATGGATCTCATTATTTGCCATTTATATGCCGATACGACAAGGTTGAACTTCTTCGAAGATGTGGATGTATTAATATTATCTCGAGAAATGAACGTATCAACATTTTCCTCGATTTGATAATTAGAATTGATATTGTAATGTTGCAACAACAGGTTTCTATATCCGTTGTGATTTTCACGTACAATGACATGTATATGTTTAGTGTAATATGATAATTACGCTCATGCATTTTCTGCGAAATAGTAGTACACATGGCCGGTGTGAAGTTGGCACCCCATTTTGAAAAAATCGATATTTTATACACAGTTCCGTTTACACCCGCAATAGTTCTACAGTTCCTGCTAAGTTTTAACAATAGTTCCGCTGATTTAGCTAAAAAAAAATTTTTTTTATAAACGGTGCCAACATCGCGTAGCACCCCAAGTGGCAAAAATTAATTTTTATCACGAAATTCTACAGTTCTCGAAGAGTTGTACAGTTTCTGATAGATTTCAGCGCCAGTTCCGGCCTCCAAATATTTTTAAACAATTTTTTAATGTGAGAGTCAGCACCCCACCACAAGAGTAAAGTACCACGTAACAGCCAATTCCTACCGACTTTTTGCTATTTTCCTACAGTCCTATAATAGTTCTAACGCTTTCGATATGGTTAAAGTTCTCGCCCTTAAGGCGATGCTAAAGCGCCAGAAGGGTGATCAAATGGCTGGTGTCTGATAGAGAGTCCAAGTCCGATCACTGCTACCTGGAAATAACACTCAGTCTTACAGGAATACAGGAGCAAAAAAGAAGGCTTCCAAATGCCAAAAGATGGGCAACAAGAAAGATGGACGAGGACATACTACAAGCTGCAATAATGGCAAGTAGTTGGCCAAAGAGGAATCGAGATACCGAGAACATAGAGGAACAGGCTAAGTACTTACAAAAGACAATGACGGAGGCATGCGACGCCGCGATGCCGAGAGCAAAACCGAGACCACGCAGGGCAATGCCCTGGTGGAGTGAAGAACTTAATCAATCGCGAGCAGATCTCTCCAACGCAAGAAGGAGTCTTAGGAGAGCAAGGAGAAGATCGCGACACCCGGAAGAGGCAGAAACACAAGCCAAACTAGAGAACTTTAGAAAGGCTAGAGATAAATTCGGTAAAGCTATTAGGAAGTCAAAGGCAAGGGCATGGGAGGACTTCGTGCAATCGCTAGACGAAGACCCATGGGGACGCCCATATAAAATGGTCCTTGGAAAACTGAGGAGATGGGCGCCGCTCTTTACGGAATCCCTAGAAGGTATCACCCTGGAAAGAGTATTAGATAGCCTATTTCCTCCGCCTGTCTGGACGAGAAAAGAGTGGAATGAGCCAGAGTTACCATTGGAAGGGACATCAGCCTGGAATGTTGAATTGGAGGTCACTCATGAGGAGCTGCTTCACGCAGTAAACAGGATGAGAAGGAAGAACGCAGCTCCGGGCCCAAGCGGTATCCCGTCAAAGCTTGGGCTCTTGCCACAAAGGTAATAGCCGGCGACATGATAAGGTTATTCACCGAATGTCTCAAGAGAGGGCAATTCCCCAGTGTGTGGAAGAGCGCAAAGCTAGTCCTCCTGAGAAAAATGAGAAAGCCTGACGACCAGGCAGCAGGGTACCGCTCGATTTGTCTCCTGGACGACGAAGCGAAGCTATTAGAGCGAATTATTGCGGACAGGATCGTTAAACACTTAACGGAAAAGGGACCAAATCTGAACCCTCTACAATTTGGCTTCAGAAAAGGAAAGTCCACGATTGACGCTATTAACACCGTTAGGACATTCATGGAGGAAGAGTATCGGAATGGAAATAGGATAGTTGGAGTATCCTTGGATATTAAAAATGCATTCAATACACTACC